TTAATTTTATCCATATTAGAACATGTAACTAACATGCCATCAATATATAATAGTAATATGATATAGGATGAATAAAAAATTTTCTATAACATTTATGACAGACTTCGTGTACCCTTTCCTACTCATAAAATTATCAAACTTCAAGTACCACTGTCTTGGTGCTTGTTTCAACCCATACAAACTCTTGGTCAACTTGCAAACCAATTTTTCTTTCCCTACCACTTTAAAATCTTATGGTTGCACCATGTAGATGTCCTCATCAAGGTCACCATATAAAAACGTTATCTTAACATCTAGCTACTCTAGATGTAAATTCTTTGCAACCACAATACTCAACATAAGTATAATGGTAGTCATTTTAACTACAGGAGGCAAAATCTCATTATAGTCAATAACTCTTTTCTGTTGAAAGCCTTTCACTATTAACCTTGTCATGTATCTCTTGTTGTCATCATGTTCTTCCTTGATCCTAAACACTCACTTGTTCTGCAGTGCCATTTTTCTGCTGGTAGGTCAGTCAAACACAAAGTTTTATTTTTCTCAAGTGAGTTCATCTTCTTTTGTATGGCTAACTCCCACTGAGTTGCATCATCTATCTGTAATGCCTCATGATACAAAGGTTCTCCATTGTCAGTCAACAACAAGTAATTTATTGAACGAGAAAATATGTAAGGAGTTTGTTAAATCTCCTCATTTCAACTATTAGGGTGACATAAGTGTTCTCCTCAACAACCTTGTCTCTTGAGCTCCCACCTTTTTCTACAAGATCATTTTCTGTAATGTCCTCTAACACTATCTCTTTCTTATCTGTTAGCTTCTTTTTAGTTTCAGCTTTTGTTTCAAGTGTGTCCTTGTACACTATATTTTCATTAAATGTAACATCTTTGATTTTAATGATCTTTTTATTATGATCATCTCAAAAGCGATATCTCATATCATATGTTTCATAGCCAATAAAAATGCACTTTATTACTTTCAAATCAAGCTTGCCTCTGACAACATCTTTAACACGAACATAAGAAACACAATCAAATACTTTTAAATGAGAAAGAATTACATCATTGTCTTATCATTCATCCTTAAGAATTTTGAATCTTATGGGAGTTGAGGATCCTTGATTAATGAGGTATGTTGTTGTGCTCATTGTTTCTGACCAGAATGTCTTTGATAATCCTGCATGAATTCTCATATTCTTTGCCCTCTCATTTAAGGTCATGTTCATTCTTTCAACAATATCATTATGCTAAGGTGTTTCAGAAATAGTTTTAATTATTCTAATTCAATTCTCAGCACAGTAATCAACAAATTCAATATTACTATATTCATCACCATTGCCAAACTTTAACCATTTAATTTTTAATCATGTCTCATTCTCAACAATGATTTTTCACTTCTTAAAGATATTAAATACTTTTGATTTTTTTCTTCAAAAAATAAACTCGTACATTTCTAGTAGAATCATCAATGAAGGTGATATAATACCGTGATCTTCCCAATGATAAGATTGATGTTGACCCATACACATATGTATGAACAAGTTCTAACTTCTCTACCTTGGACATCCTCTCTGACTTAGCAAAAGTAACTCTCTTCTACTTCTCAAATGCACATAGTTCACAAAAACTCTCTTCTATCCCCTTATCGCTCATGTGACCAAGTCTTTGTTGTCACAAAGTTAAAGGAGGACCAACATCATCACTAATTGAATTTATTTCTTCTGCAGATAATTCTACCATGTATAGTGTGCAAATCTCATTTCTTTAATAAATATATAATTTTGAGGAATAAAATAAATAATTTTAAGATATTTAACTTTTCACGTCTAATTAAAGGTAACTGTTTTTTAGAACGAATGTTGTTGGGTGTTAATATCTTCCCTACACATAATCGACACTTTGTTCCAACTTTTAGAAAGAATGTTGTTTTTTAGAACGAATGTTGTTGGGTACTAATATATTCCCTACACATCATCTTCTAGACGTATTTTTCCGAAATTTCAACTTCTGAATTATTTCACCAAGTTCTTGTAATGAGAAACCTGGAAAGATACACCAGAATCCATGATCCAGGATTCAAACTTGCTTTCAACATAAATATCAAAGCATCATCAATATTTTCCTGTGTTGCATCCAATGTATTGTCATGTCTGTTATCTTTAGGAACAGTATAGTGGTTTTTAAAGTGTTTGTTTCGTTGACAATTCTAACAAGTAATATCTTTGCGAGGAAAGGTTTAAATTGTTTTCGCTTCTTGGACTTTGATCTATCACGTCCAAAGTCTTTCCCTCTTTCAGGCTTTCTACATCTACCTTTGATGCCTAATAAGGAATTTGTTTATTCCTCAGCGTTCCTTCTACGAACATCTTTATTAAAGATTAAATTTTTAATTCCTTCAAAGGTTAATTTCGAAATCCCAAATTGGCTACTACCATGACAGTTCCTGACCAACTATCAGACAATGAAGATAACAATAATAGAGTGTGTACTTCATCATCAAATTTAATATTCACTGACACTAATCTTGATAATAAGGAATTAAATTTATTTACATGATCTGTAACACTAGCAACTTCACGCATCTTCGTATTAACTAACTGACGAATCAATAATATCTTGTTTGATGATGATGGATCCTCATACATGTTTGATAACGTCTTTATCAAACCATATGTCGTCTTCTCGTTGACAATGTTGTAGACAACATTTTTCGTCAATGTTAATTTGACCACATCCAAAGCTTGCCGATCTGGCAACTCTCAACATGTCTGAAACATCATTTCTAGTTTATTCTTAAACAAAGGCTAATGCAATTTTTTTTTATATAGATAATATTTAATCTGCATTGTCTAAAATTCGAAATCACTTTCATCGAACTTATCAATCTTCACTTTCCTGTCTTCAGTCATTGCTTTTACTCACATGAAAAAACCTAAACTCCTGATACTAGTTATTGGGAGGACCCAAATGCACTGCAAGACGAAAGTAAATAACAAAAATACAAGAAATTTATATGATTCAGTCAAAATGACCTACATCCACGACTATACTAGATGGTAGTTCTCATTTACTTAATTAGGTTTAATATTTATAATAAAATAATAAATAAATGGATAACCCTTTAGAATTTACGTAATTAACAACCATATACAAATATTTTCCCATATCCCTTGTTCATGTGTGGGCTGGTAGTCGTTTACTTCTTCTTCATCATTTCGAGTGACATAAAAATCATATACTTCCTTTTTCCAATGATAGTAGCCATCCATACTGAGAAACTAATTTACCTTTTCCTTTATTCATTTCATACAAAACATTATTTTCTTACCACTAAATTTATTCACCAGGTTGTTAATTAGATTATTAGCTTCAACAAATTTTACTTATATAATCAATCTACTAGACTTAATAACTTAATACACATCATAATCAATAATTCATGTACATATTCTAAGTAGTTAGAAAAAAGTTTAGATGTTTTAATCTCTCAAATTTGAATTAAGAATTTTTTTTTTATCTTTCATATTTAAAATCAAATTTTCTGGTTGCTATATAACTAGAAAAAGACGTGTTGTAATTTTTAACATTATAAGTGAAATTCGAGAAATGATATTATTTTTTATATCAAGTTATAAATATTTTTATTTTTTTAATGTATTGTGATTTAAATTTAAGACTATTTGGTTAACCACTTTACACGGTTAAATCTCAAATGAACTGTTTAATCCAAAATGTGAAACATTGATATTTCTTTATAGAATAAGAAAAGTGGTTTTTTAGTAACAAAATTGGACGTCCCTCTCTATTGAAACAATTGTTTAATAATTAATAAATGATAATACATCACGTTTAATTTTCCTAACATCTCATCAATATCTATTTATTTTCTTATTATATTATAATTATTATAAAATTTATATTTTTCTTCTTTTTCTACATGTTATGAAGTGTTTTTTTATTTTTTATTGGTGTTCATATATATATATATATATATATATATATATATATATATATATATATTTCATTCTTCACTTATGTTAGATATGCAAGTTCTGGATGGAATCGTTCTCCCAATACTAATGTCAGAGTTCCATCTCTTTTTCCACGTCCTGCTTTTTCTAGTTGTAGCATGTGTTGGAAAACCTGTGTTGAGGACTCCAAACCATGATCTTGGGGTTTTCAAAACCCTCATCAGGGTCGAAAAAGGTTGGACTTAATTTTTCTACCAACAGCAGGGAAAAATAATTTAAAAAAAAAAAAGAAGAAGAAAAAGGATAGTTCTGGAACCTAATCAGAAAAAACAGTACCACGGGGCTACTAGCAGTGTATCAGAAATGGTTGGTGCTTGTTTTTCTTCCTTTTGAATTCCGTAGATGCTTGAGAAACAGATGTGGCATGGAATGTTCTTATCCAGAAACATACACATTACATCTCCATGTGATCATGTCACGTCCAACAACCGTCGCAGTTTGCTTTTCAGAACATATCACATACGTACCGTTAACAACAACACCAGAAATTCAAGACCTGGTGAAAAAACCCTAAATAAATTAATCAGGTGGACTAAACTAGTATTCTTCACTGAATATGCCTATTATGATCATGCACATGTGATGCAATTTATGTCTGACTTTTGCACCAAAATATTCCACTCCATAAGCCATAAAGATAGAGAACTATTCATTTCCAAATAGTTTGAATGAAAAGCAAGATGTGTATGCAGCGAGCATTACATGGTAACTCTTCTCAAACAAATTAAATACAGACACCCCCACAATTATCTACATTACATAAAACAAAAAAGTCTGGAAAAAATACAATCAGTTTATGTACTTTCCAGTTTTTTTCCTTTTTAAAATATTCATGATAAACTAAATTAAAGTTAAACTAATTCTTTGTCAAAGTGAACTCGATAATAAAATTCACATTCTGAAACAGGTAAAATAAGGTCTTGGTGTCGTTGGATTATTTAACTTCTTCTCGGGTATACTCTCTACTATTATTCTAGCACCGCCAAGCTGACGTGGCAACCATGGCTCGTTCGTGCCAGCACAGCACCAACTCAGCATGTCGTTTGTCCACGTGGAAGCCTCTGATTTGCACCTTCGCAAGCAAACACTCCGCTTGATAATCGGCGAACTGGCTCAACTGCACCGGCCTCATTCCTGCGCCGTAAAATGCCTCCCTCCACGACGGCGTCCTCCTCCGCGCGCTTTCCACCGCCGCGAAGATCTTTGGCCGCAGCAGAAGCATCTCGATCCTCCTCACCCACTCGCCGCCTCCCCCGGCCGCCACAGACGCGTCCAGCGACTCCAGCATCATCGAGTAAAACTCCAAACTGTTCACCACACCACGCCGGAAAGACGCAGCCACCGTAGCCTCCGTCCAGCCCTCACCGTCCACGAACACCACCACTCCGGGCGCCATCCTCCTCACGTCAGCCAGGAACGCGCCGACGCTGGCCCCGCCGGAGCCTAGGCGGCAGAAGATCGTCGGCGACAGAAGCACCGCGATCTTCTCTCCGTCGACGAACCTGACGGCCTTGAACGAAACCGTCTCGAAGGTCCGAAGTGGCACGAAGTCCACCTGCGCGCGGATCCCGAGGTCGTGCGCGAATTGGTTGAGATTCTCGCGGACGAGGCGGCTCTCGACTGCGTACTCCTCGGGCACGACGGCGGTGATACGGAGGAGAGGTGAGGCGCCGGCAGCCTTCTCGGCTATCTCCTTCATTAGGGAGGCGTATTGGATTCCGAGCCCGATTTCGAAATCGATGACATGGACGAAAGAGGATCCGTTTAGGGTTTCGAGCAAGGCCTGGTTGGTGGTGAAGATAGAGAACATTGGGATGGGTGAAATTCCTGAAAAGGCCTTGAACGTTTTGATGGTTTGAACAATCTCGGCCATGGAGGAGAGCCGGTTGGAACCAGCACGGTTGGAACGGGAGAGAATGGATTGGAGAGCGTCTTTGAAGTGAAACGCGGCTCGGTGGAGAGGCTTGGCCATGGGTGAGCGAATAAGGCGGTTGTTGAGGCGTTCGAGTATGGCTTGAGCGAGTTGGAAGTGGCTGCTGTCGAAGCAATCGGCGGCGCGGATAAGCTCCTCGATGAAGTCCCAATTGTTGTTAACGTTGTTGGTGGTGTTGTGGTGGTGGTGGTTGAGGTCGTGAAAGGAATGGTCCAAAGCGTTGGTGGTGGTGTAGTTGTAGGGGAGGTTCTGGTTGTAAATTTCTGAAAGCGAGGTAAAGTCTGGAGGTTGATCGAAGGGAGGGTCGTGAGAAGGTGGAAAGTCAGGGATGCATGGGTTGATGTTAGGCTTGGAAAGGGGTGTGGGAAAGTCTTCGGGTAAGGCTAGGTCCTTCATGATGGACTCCCACCAATCGGAATTAGGCAAGACATGATCGTCCAGGTCTAGGTTGTTGTTGGAATTGGTGGTGGTGGTGGTGGTGGTGATGGTGGCGATGATGTTGTTGTGTTGTGGGTCTGGCTTAGGGACAGTTGGTTTCTTTTCGGGGCTGGGGCTGCGGCAGAGGTCGAGGACGGAGGTGGGTTCGTAGGTGAAGGTGGTGTTGGTGGCGTTGGGGAGGGCGTGGAGGAGGAGGTTTGGGGTGGGAGAATGGTTGTTGGGCTGTGATGAGGGAACTCTCATCTCTAAGCCAAGCAAAAGCTGTGATGATGATGATGATGATATGCCTTTTTGGCTTTCCCAATAGAGTTGTTCTCTTCTTGTTTGTTCGATGGCTAATTTCCTTTGGGATCGTGGACGAGTTTAGGAGAGTGAGAGAGGGCTTTTGCTTCCTCTCATCCTCGCCTTTTTATCTTTGCGTGTCCACTGCTCTCTCTCTCTCTCTCTCTCTCTCTCTCTCTCTCTCTCTGCTACACTTCATATCTCCCTTCAATGCCATGTACACATCCATGCATACACATGCTGCCCTCCCATGCACACCTTTTATCCATGTCAAGCTTCTACGTCAAGCCCCCTAAACTCGCTTGCTTTTCATTTTGCTTTTCATCCCTCCACAACTCAAAAGATTACTTGCTTAGCCTAATTAAGCAGTAAACAGTTACCACATATCATTCACATCACACTCTTTCTCACTTTTCTCCCTCGCTTTGTTATACATCTATTTAGTCTCTTTGGGATGAAACACATTTGCAATATTTAGGGCTTATGGGGGCTATTAGAACAAAATTTAAATGTATAAATAACCATGTAAAAAGAGAACAGGAAAAAACATATCTCAAAAAGTTGGATGCAATAAAATAAACTATTGAACGAACTTAAATAAGATTATCTTTGCATTATATCAAATATTGGAGATTAAAAGTTAAAAGAAATCATAAGTAAATCATGAAACAGATACCAGCTGAAACTTTTATTCTTCCAAAATCTAGGAATAACTCGAGTATTTAATTTTTTATACGGGAGTGCTTTAGTTTCTTTTTATGGGTGGTGTTCATACAACGAAATGGCCCAAAAATACTTTACTGCCAAAGTAGTAGAAAATGGACCCATGAGACCTATCACATTATTATTTATAATATAACTAATTTAAGTAATACATAATCAATATTTAGAGAAAAGTATTTGAGTTTATAAAAAAATAATGTCGTAATTAATTATAAATGTTTGGATTTAAAATAAAATTAATAATGAGGAGATTTGTCATTCTTTAATGTACTTAAATCAGGAAATCATATTACTACATAATTTAAATCAGGGAACCAGATTACTATATACAATTTAAATGCATTAGGAAAGCTCATGCATTAGGGATGCAAGGAGAAAAGGTATGCATCCAACTCACAAAGCAACGTTCCCAATTAACTTTCAAAAACATTTTGAGTGTTAAAACACTTTTCTTCAGTAACTTTGGGTGAGCGTTTTCTCTTCATGTTATCTTAACGTATTCCTGAAAATTGGAAACGCTTTATGTTTGCAACAAAGATAGAAAATAAAATACAAAATTCCACAAAACATTCCCTTAAACTTTGGTGAAGATAGTGATTTTTCACCCAGAAAGATATATTTTGATTATGAAACTGTTAAAAGGGTCAAATAGTGGGAGCATAAAGCTACGAGTTAAGCCGTTCTTTCTTGAAACTGGACCCACAAAAGTTGAGAGTGGAGCCCCTAGAGAAGCTCTACCACCACCCATCTTCATATATACCTCTGGAAACAAGTTAAGGGAAAAGGTTCATCATTAACCACTTTCCATCGGGTTTAGCTGCTTTATCTTTCAATGCATAAAAAAAGTTTGTCATTGCAGCGCTCATTATTTTAAATCAAATATTAATTAAAAACGGTTTTAATTTATCAATCAATACTAAGAAATAAAATTGAATTTTAAAAAAATTATATCATTTACGTAGTAAAAATATTTTTACATCGTTTACTAATTCAACTTAAAATAATTTTTTTATCAAAAATATTTTTTTTAACATATGAGCTTAAACTTGCTAAGATGGTATTTACTTTTATCTTAAGTTAAGTGAGATATTTTAGTAGATCAAAACAAGTTTTGTAATGGAAGATTAAATGATAAAAGTGATAGTAAATCTTCATTTATTTTTCACAATCGGAATAAATGTTACAACTTTAGAAAATTGTACGCTTTAGAATTTGATCTCCATTTATCATCATTTTGTTTTAATATAGGTCTTCCATAAAAAAAATTCTATAAATTATCTTTAATATTAACTCTTAAATAGTATGAAATTTTTAATAGATTGACCGAAATGTAAGATTGATCTTAATTAATCATATTAATAGAACTTGAGATTGAAACATTAACCTAGTGTATTCAGTATATCTATTCTTAACATTTTTATTTTAAAATTAGTTAATATTTAATAAATTTATTGTAATATAAAAAGATTCACCACTTTGAATAAATTAAATAATGAAGTGAAAATTACCATAAAGCGGCATTAGAATACAATAAATAAAATAAAACAAGATATTGATGTGAGATGTGAAAATGATTCAATTTAGGAAAATAATAATGCTGATGAAAAGGAATCTAGTGCTTTTGACTTACTCGTTTTTAATAAAGTTGAGCAGTTAAAATTGTTTGGAATTGATATCCTCGTCATGTTTAAGCAGCATGCAAGATTTGCATGCTCATCGATCCTTTATTCAATCACATCGACTAAATTGTCCGTACAAACAAAGAAAGTACTTTACCTTTATTCTTTTGCTGAAATGCATGCATGAGTCATGTGCTAGGTTTTCATATCTCCCTATTCAATTATGACTGTTACTAACCTCTACTCCTGCCTTCTTTCATATTCTAATTCATCCATATTTTCCTTCTTCCTGTTTCATAATATCATAAATTTCAATTTCATAATACCATCATATCATCCTACAAAATAGATAAATCGTTATATATGAAACGTGATTAAAAACGTGGTAATAATTTTGATTTTTTTTAATGATAATTTTATTATAATTATTATTATAGGTAATATACCAGAACGGCTATAAATAAAATTTTCATAATATATGTGATATATATAAATTATAAATAAATTATTACAATTATATATATAATATTTTAACTACAATTTTGTTATAATTAATAATTATTTACATAATTATTTTTATTTTTATTTTCTCTTTTTTATTTGTTTTTTTCTTTTTCTCTATTGTAACTCTCATATTTTTGTTTTATTCATCATGATTCAATTGTCCTTTTCTTTTTCTCTTATTCTTAAAATGTCTATTTTCATCGTAAAAATTTTCAATACACTCAAATTTGGCAAAATGGAGAATAATAATGAAAAACAGTGTTTTGTTAAGATAAAGATAAAGGACAATGTTTTATTAATATAGGAGTAGATGACAATATTTTACTAAAATAGAAAAAGTAATTGAGCATATTGAAACTGAGTTAAAAGAGTAATAATAATAAACAGTAAAATATTATAAATTTGTTACGAACAATAAAGGAGCAGTGGAAGATTTAGCTGTAAATGAACAACAAAGCTTTTAAGTTTATTGTTAAATATATTAATTTGTTATAATATAGTTTCTAAATTTATTACTATGTGTTAGTGGAAAATCGATACAAGGATCGAAAAACGGAAGAGAGAAAATCGAAGATCATATAATTGGTTAAAAAGTTGATAAATCGGAAAGGTAGTTTGAAGACATTCAATGACCACGAGACCGTATGAACACATAAATCGAGAATGGAAATCGAGAATAAGAAGATAGAAGAAATTTGATGAAAGTAAGAAATCGATAATAAAGTATGGAGTGTAAAGTTAAGGTTAAGGGAAATCATACTCCATATCTAGAATCGAGATCGAGGGAAACGGTTATCATGCACATGGAACATGGGGAGTGGCTTTCCAAATCGTGGCTAAAGTTAGAAATCGAGGAACGGTTAAAGTGCACATGGAACGTGGAAGCGGTTTTCTAAACCGTAGACTAAGGTAAAAATTGAGGAACGTGCACATGGAAAGTGGTGACAGTTTTTTTTTTAACTGCTCTTGGGAGGTTACATTGAAGGATGCCTATAAATAGAACGAAATTGGAAGAAGAAGGGGAAATTGACAGAGACAACAGAAACACAAGTGAAAAGTCTACCGGAGAACGACGAATCATGAAGTTTCTGACGATCTGGATTTTCATTCTCATTGACTGTTTGACCGCTTTCTTTACTTTCCCTGGTAACTTATTTTCAGGCAATTTACATTCATCAAATTAAGTTTCCATACTTTCAATTACTTGTCAGTTATCTTTAATGCAATTTAAGATTTTGTATTTTCAAATGCTTGTCATTTACCGTTTCTGCAATTTCGACGTTCTGTCATTTACTTTCATGCAATTTTAATTATGTCATTTACAGTTAATGCAATTTCGAGGTTTCCGCAATTTTACATTTTTCTGCAATTTAATCTGCACTGTTTCTTCGAGTGTTTTAGTATAAAATATAAAAAATAATACTCTCGATGGTCAATCGGCACACTAGGTGACGTTGTTATCTTTTCTTGATACTATGAGATTTTCGATTCTCATATATATTTCGATTGAAAAAACGTTTGTTGGCTTAAGTAAAAAGAATCTACGTTGTTGAAATTTGTTTAGAATCAAAATCTCCAAAAAAATCGAAATCAATCAAATTTCCACCGAAACACTACGAACAAAAAAAGTGTTTCAAATGATAACATTTATAAATATACTTCATGATTGTATAAATAATTTATTATAATAATTTAAAAATGTTATTAATTTATTAAATTTTCAATTTTATAATTTTATGGATCTATATCTCACTTTATTTATCGAACTATAAATTATGAAAAAAAAATTTATATACTTATTTTTTAAGTATTAGAAATTGATCTCGAATTTAAAAATTATAAAATATAATACTACGACTTAAGATTGAACGTAAACTTAATTTGTGTGCTACAACCACCTAATAATACATAAAATTAAAATATAAAGAGATGTATTTAGAAAAGTGTATCATTATTTTGTTAAAAATCGAACCAAATAAAAATACTTATTTTTAAAAGTTAAATCAAATCCAACTAATTTAGAAAAATGAAAACTTTTTTTTCAAACAAAGAAATTATAAAATAAATATTAACCTTCAAGAATAATAGTTTCTAACGACAAAGGAGAGAAGAGATTGACCATCAACCTATAATAATAATAATAATAATAATAATAATAATAATAATAATAATAATAATAATAATAATAATAATAATAATAAGAAGAAGAATAATAATAATAATAATAATAATAAGAAGAAGAAGAAGAATAAGAAGAAGAATAAGAATAAGAAGAAGAATAAGAAGAAGAATAAGAAGAAGAAGAAGAAGAAGAAGAAGAAGAAGAAGAAGAAGAAGAAGAAGAAGAAGAAGAAGAAGAAGAAGAAGAAGAAGAAGAAGAAGAAGAAGAAGAAGAAGAAGAAGAAGAAGAAGAAGAAGAAGAAGAAGAAGAAGAAGAAGAAGAAGAAGAAGAAGAAGAAGAAGAAGAAGAAGAAGAAGAAGAAGAAGAAGAAGAAGAAGAAGAAGAAGAAGAAGAAGAAGAAGAAGAAGAAGAAGAAGAAGAAGAAGAAGAAGAAGAAGAAGAAGAAGAAGAAGATGATAGAGAAGAAGAAGAAGATGATGAAGAAGATGATGAAGAAGATGATGAAGAAGATGATGAAGAAGATGAAGAAGAAGATGAAGAAGAAGAAGAAGAAGAAGAAGAAGAAGAAGATGAAGAAGAAGAAGATGAAGATGAAGAAGAAGAAGATGAAGATGAAGATGAAGAAGATGAAGATGAAGAAGAAGAAGATGAAGAAGATGAAGAAGAAGAAGATGAAGAAGATGAAGAAGATGAAAAACGCAAACGCAATATAGTGGAGGTATTCTCTTAAAAATAAAAGATTATATCACATCTCAAAGAAGAAGAAGAAGAAAAGCACAATACTTTCATTTAAAAAAAAAAAATGTAAAAAAACACGCAATTAGTTTCTAAAAAATAGATCGTACTGAGTCAATTCTAAATTATATATTACCACGTTATTATTATTATTATTATTATTATTATTATTATTATTATTATTATTATTATTATTATTATTATTATTATTATTATTATTATTATTATATAATATCAACAATATAAATTTATATTTTCGTGCCAGTGTATTTTTTTCTACTGTCTCTATTTCCATTTATGATTATCAAGATAGTATCAAATGCAAGATTACAGTAAATATTATCTTTTATGATATTACCATATTTAAGCATACGAATAAAAATATTTATTATTTATATATGCTATTCAAAACTATATTGTTCATATTAATTATTTATGCAAACAGATAATAATTCAAAATTTACTTTTTAATAAATTATACATTTTTATGAGTTAGTTTATACTTAAACATATTTAATTCTTTTTAATAAATGCATGTGCAAATTTTATTTACTATACTAATTATTCAATTTAAAAAATATAAAATCAAGTATTATTCATTTTAAAGTTATTATTAATTATAATTTTATTCTTAAAATACGTTTTATGAATTAAAAAAAAATATGTTTAAATCATTTTAAGATTAGTGAGCATTCCAAAATATAAATTATTAAGACATATTTATCAAAAAAATAAAACTTTATTTTTAGTAAAAAAAACTTTATATTTGAACTCATAATAAATATTAATATTTTATTTAAGAAATAAGAGTGTGTCCCTCTCATAATCAATAACATTTATTTATATTTATACTTCACAAACTAATTATGTATTCTTATTTACATTTATTTATATTTAAAATTAATTTTTTTTCGCACGTGATACAGCAAGTGACGCGTTAAGATGATGTATTTTGGAGTCAAATGGACCCCACCGGGTGCTATAGTTTATAGTTAAACAAATCAAGGTGTAGGCTTTAAATTTATAAGAGCGATGATGAAAGTGTATAACGCTTCTTCATTAATGTTTGTAAGAAAGATTTTAAATATATCTGAAATTTAATCTTTCAATTGTTTTATTGCAAAATTAAAAAGTTTGTGTAAATTCTTAAACGATAATTTTATAGATTAGTTTAAATTTAGAGCAGACTTATTTGAAATTTTAAAGATTAAATTTAAGTTTATTCAAAAACTAACGTGACGATAAATTAAACTGATATTTTATTGACAACAAACTTTTACTTAGAACTAAAGTAAGAAAAAATAAAAGAAAAAGAAACGTAATACAATAAAGTAAAAAAAATATATCACTTTTGTTTTGAAAAGAAAATAAAAAAAAAACTTTTTTATTTATAAATATAACAAATAAATAAATAAAAATCAAGTAATTATTCATATATTTCTTTAGAAAAGAAGAGAGATTTGTGCTTTTGAATAATACCATTAATTTGTACCTTTTATTTTTTTATTTTCTTCTCCTCTGCATAGTTGAAAAATAAGATATGTAGATCTATTTATAAGGGTTATATATCTTTATATGTCATCAAAGAAAATAATTTTTTGTATTAATTTTCTATATGAATATATATTTTTTATTATACACATTCCTTTGTGATGAACTTATTACTCTAAGAAAGGAAATATTTATATTATTTATATAAGATAATTTCATATATTTTTTGTTAAGAAAAGAAATTGTGAAAAGGAATATATTCGTAAGTATGAAGATACATATTATATGTTACGTGACAGATAGAGCATCAAGATTTTTGTGAGATAGAAACACGTCCTTTCGTTTACATAGCGAAGACACACCGCACATATCTTTATCTACCACCTCCATTATTGTAAATAATGTTGCACTTTTTTTTCGGCTAAGATTGTTAATGGAATGGCCACTTTAACAGAAAGTTTGGCCACCTAAAAAATAAAGTGTCTTTATGCCCATTTTCTATTCCAAACGTAACACCATCTACACAAAATCACTTATTCACAACTCATCATCTACCCTTCTACCACACTTGTCATTGCATGGCCTTTTCAGAATTCTGTTCAATGCCACATTCTAATCACGTATTTTCATCTTTCATATGCCATACATGCTTTCACCTATTACTACACCTTGCATCGTCCCAATACACTACTTTTTACATCGGATCCAATGTTATCTTCACCAATTTTTCATGTATATTCTTTTCACAACCAAACAAAACATTTTTTATAACACTCATTCATTTTTTTGGATAAAGTGTTTGATAATCAACTTTTCATCATTTTATTTATTTATGCACTTCTTCAACGATTTCATTACATGCATATTCTATTAACTAAGATTATATGCTGTATCAGATAACTACCATGATACTGGCTGTATATTAATATATGTGTAGATCAAATTACATGTTTTTATTAAATTATTGTATCGTTTAATATTTTATATGAATTATGTTTACAAAATTTTATATTAATTTAATTATTTTATTTTTCATAACATAAACCAAAATTAAAACTTGATGTATAATTTTAAAAAATATAAATCATTTGCTCAATTTTTTTATTATTGTTCAATTTTAACAAAATTTAATATTAACAATTATTGCACGAAACTATAGTTTAACGATAAAATTCGTTTCTTTATATATAAATTTATTAACAATGTAATATTTTTAATGAAAAATAAAAAAAATTGGAGTATAATTAATCTATTTTATGTTGTTAGAGATTTGGAAAGTGACAGTTCCTGTAAAAATTTGTGATGGAACATAATAATTTTCTGTCACAATTTTGCAAGAACATGCCCTTATTACTCATATGACCATGTTATAAAATTTGTTAACAAATAAAATTCATATTTTAACTTCTCAACAACTCTCAACATTGAAGTACTAAAAAGATTATATATCTATCTTCCATCTTATTCGTGTCTATTTTTTTAATATATGTTTATTATTGAAAATGAGTTATCTTCAATACTGGTCAATTACTTAAATAATCAATTAAAGGATAATTTAAATATTTTAATAGATTGACTTTACCGATCTTTGACATATATAACAGAAACAGTTAATAGATTTTTCATTTCAAAATGAAAAGGTATAACATCAATTTTCGTAACGATGAACTTAATTATATTTTAAAATATAACTTTTCCTGTTGAATAAAATAAATTCTTCAAAAAAGAACGTTGTTTTCAATTAAAAAAATCCACGTACGAAACGATGCTATTGAACTTAAAAGAAGTAATTCCATCATATTATCACCAAATCTAGGATTAAGTTCGTACAAATGTATCTCAAGAAGGATATTAATGAATAAATTAACATGATAATAATGTTTATCTATAATGGGATCAACATTTACGCGAGCATGATCATTTTTGTGAATATATAAGGTTCAATTATAAGGTGATAAACTTTGTGAGTCTTAGAAACATAAAGTAACAATATTCAATGTGACAAACTTTGGGTAAAAAATCCCATCCTGGTTTACAGTACATTTTAAGTTAATAACTTTTTTAATCTCTAAAATTAAGCGAGCTTTAATTAGTTTAACTTTTGGTTTTAAACTGTAAAAAAAAATATTTATTTTTCAATTCTTTAAATTTAGAATCGTTACTTTTGATACCTGTGTCTTAATTTAAGTTGGATAAATGGTATTTAATTAAAAAATTAAAAAAATTTAAAGATATGGCATAAAATTATAAAATAAAGCTTATATAAAATCTAACGCTGATGAGAAAAAATATTAAAATAAAATGAATTACGGATCCTTCCAAACATATCGAAAGTGCATTAATATATAAAATAAAACTAAAGCAAACATCTTTCAATTGTTTTTTAAAATGGATATCTTAGTACAAGTGAATGACCCACGAGATTGAAATGAAATCTAATAATGGAATCGAGTGTTTAAAACAAGGGTCGCGAAGACGCATGCATACATAAAATATATAATAGAAAGGGAAGAAAATAATGAATAATTGGAGTGACATACTTAAGCATTAAGGTAGTAAGGAAGGAATGAAGGACACGGGAGTGACGCGTTAGGGAAAACGAGAGAGGAAGCTTGAAGAGTACAAAAGGTGATGAGATGAGAGTGTTATGAGAGTAAGAGATTCTGGTTTCTATCATGACCCATGTAAAGAGGGTCTCCATTCACCCACTCTCCAAAGAAAGAGAAAGAAAAAGGCTAAAGGGTGTTGAGGAATTGGAGGATGTGATTTTTCATTTGTGGGAATAATAGTGGAGGATCTTCTATCTTCTCTATGCTATAATGCCACTTCCATAGCTCCTCCATAGGACCAAACCCTTAAGGATATCTTGTCATTTTCACAAAAATATATATTTTTATTTTCTTTCATAACTAGGACAAGTTATGATTACAAAATATGTATAAATTATGTATGTATAAAGAAGGTTATATTGATACTGTTAGAATTCCGTGCATGTTACTCAAACTCTCACTCAAATGAGTCTCAACGTTGGTTAGTTTATGTCATATTATATAATATTAAACTTTAACATCTTCAATTTAGTGTGTAGTTTTCACTAGCTACCTCGGTTTTTTATTTATTTTGGGCATGTGATTCCTTCCCGTATTTATGCACGTAATCTTCCTCTTCTTGTTCTTTAATTTGACACTACTTGACGTGAGATGTTATGACACAACTTTGTGGTCTATGGAAAATGTCACAAAGATTTGTGGTACTTATGCTATTTTCTGCCACTTCAATGGATCAATGACGTTATCAACTCCATTGGTTCACTTCAAAAAGGATTTTTTGTCTTTCGTATCAAAAATAGATGTTTTATTGGATAATTATTTCCCTGTCTGTCATTTTATCTAATAAATTTGTATTTCATGTCTGATGTTAATAATTAATGTGATTATACTTTCATACTTTTAAAACATGGAAAGTCTAAATTTGAAAATAAAAATAAAAATAAAGGTTTTGCATACTGAAGTAACATATCTTTCCGATATAATATAATGGTGTGTAATTATTTCCAAAACTTCATATGCATTTTTTTTTTCATCATGAACAACATTGTTTTTAAAAATATATTTGTCACATTGAATTATGAATCATCCAAATCGCCTCGGATAGACTTGTTTCAAAAATATATTTAAACATATTAAATCAATTCTAAGTTTTCAATCCATTGATTAATGTCATTATTTCATTTCTTTTAAAGATAGAGATATAAGTTCATATTATTTGATAGTCAATACACAATTTAATTTTATGGTACATGTAACCAAAAAGCTAATTTTTTTATTTTGTCATACAATTAATTTTATACAACCTTATCGGATGAAATGTTACCAATAATTAAGTTAATGCTAATTAATATCCTGATTAAGAAATTAAAAACAAATTGCCAATCAATGATTAAACATGTTATTAAGGTACCCTCAAGGAATTTTAATAAAAAATTAGTGATTCCTTAATCAGTAGGGTTAAACACTGATTAACAAGACCCGTGTTTGATGAGAAAACTAGTCGGAAGTATTTCGATTACGAGATTCTGGCAACAGTTATTTTCTTGGAGGATGTATGTCGCTCTCCTCGATAGTGTTATTCAATTATAGCCACATACAACTCCTTTTGGTTATCATGAAATAATTGCAAGCATTGGTACTGTTAATTAAATATAAGAAATTAAAAATACATTTTTTTGTAATATTGAATATTGATTACAAGATTCGATGCATTTAAAATTGTGGGCCCGACACCATTTTTCTCAGATCTACCTCACAATAGATATTAACATAACAAACAACGAAGAATTTTCATGATATACCCAAAAAACAAAATACACAATTTGATGATGTCATATAGCTAAAACAAAGCGTAATTTTGAGAGGGGAAAAAGAGTTAAAGTAGGAGCTTAAAGTATGTAATTTGGGCCTTTCATATAAGATGCCAACCAGTCTGGTTGGTTAAAAAATGTGTTTGTGATGGGTCCATGGGTTGTATCCCACAATAAGTTTGAGGATAGGACAAAAAACAAAAAGACACGTTTGATAGATGGCAATGACTACACAAAAACTTTAATTTATGCCATCTTTTCCACCTAGCACGAAAGATGCACTTTGAAATGTCCAATCTAAATACTTGGCTTATGAATTTGAAGAAACTAGGAAGCATAAAAATAAATTGGTTTAATTTCTTTTTCATTTCACTTAATATTATTTCTTTTTTTAAGATTTTGTTAAAATAAAATAGTTAAGGCTATACCTAAACAACCAGACACATGATTGATGCAACAACAATTTTTTGCAGAAATCTGTAGTTATGATCAGCTCATTGCCTCTGCTCTCCTCTCATTTTCAAACTCAACATCATACCATATAAACTCCATGCACCCTGTTTCGTTAAGGAGATTCTAACAAATCCTTACAAGTGTTTTTATATTCAATGATATGATCAATTGATTTAATTATACTATTATATACTATTTCTAAGCAAAAAAAAATTTTGAATAAATGATTGATAAATTAGTAACTAAACGTAAGTAAATAAATCATGGATTCAATTTAACGTTATTCACAATGTAAGAAAAGGATGTATCCTTAAATAAAACATTACTCATTTGACTCAAATGACCACTAAATTCTTCCCTGGAAACTTATTTTTACAGTGTTACTATTACAGGAGGGAGGGGGCAGATGCATTTCTAAAGCAAAATATCATATATCAATTGCTGATTTTATTTTATTTTCTAACAAACAACTATATCACTCTAAAAAACAATCTCAAAATATAGGAACCACTCTTGTTTAACTATTGTCAAAAAAATATTATTAAGATTTGTTTTACTAAAATTTAATCTTAACCATCAATGTGATAACTATTTTCTGAGATTAAAGAAAATAACACTAATCTTAAATCAGCCAGGTTGTATCTGTTGGCATAAATGCTATTCACAGGACAGTACTTTTCCACGCACTGCTATATAGAGAGACAGAATTCCAGTTTGGAGGAAACATGATCTGCCTCAGCCATATCAGAGAGGAAAATAGAAATAATGATTATAACAATAACAGAACAGATTTGCATTGAACCAGAAACAGCAGCAGCTTAGTCACGCTAATTAACACATAATTCCATTCTGACCCAAAACTTGCACTTCCCAACTGAATAATTGCAGTAACTATTACCAAACTATACCAAACGACTTATTATCAGCCCTTTTCGAATTAGTTTCTTCATAAACATTTATAAAGAAATGTAAATGAAATTATTTATCTCTAAAAAATTGATTATAACTTAAGCTTTTCCCTTGCAATATCTCTGCCAACATTCCCTTGTTTATTACCATAAGATCTCTGCCAGCATACACTCCAATGCCCTGATTTTGACCCCCCTCACTTGAACAACCAGAAAATGAACACAACTCCTCCGCCACAACCACACAAAAAACACTGAAACAGAAACAACATACTCACCAAAACTCCATCTCCATATTGCACGGTAATTAAACCACTGACCAAACTTAAACAGCATCACATGCATGCTCAACAATAGAAGTTACATATCAAAACCCATGAAATATGCACAACCCCATCCTACCTGTTCAACACACACCATTCTGTCCCATCCAAAAACAGAAATTGGAACCAAATAAAATGATCTTTAGAAAACCTAAACCCCAAACAGCAGAAACTCAACTAAAATATAGACTATTGCTGTGTCCATTCCTTGTGAGCCACAATCAACCACACCAACCATCTCAAATCAATTATGTTTTCAGGAAACACCATTTGCAATCAAATTTATCAGAAAAGAACACCATCAACCCCTACAAAAAGGAAACCTTCAGGACTCAACCTCCATTGTGCTATTGTCACCATTCTAACTATAACAACCCAGCCATAAACCACAACCATGAATGACTATCCTGCCAACGTCCCAAACCAGCCCCAGTTAAGCCCCAAGCAGAATCCACTGTGACACTGTATCCACACACATGCTTGTGGGTCTCACTCACCATGGTTAAATATGGTGAGTCAATCAACAGAAAAATTATTGACATCCATTCAGTCGGGTAGAGTGCAATTTTGATGTTAGAATGGAATTATATTTCAATTAACCATGCCCAAGGGTGATTTGTGTCATTTACCAAAAAATGAATAATCAAACAACCCAAACCTCGGGGTTCAAAGGTCCTACCTAGGCCAAAGATTTAGCCTGTAACTACAATAATATGGTCCCACTAATTATTGAATATGGTTTTGCAGATTTTGTTGGAGAGGATAGTTTACTTTTATGATGATCAATGATCCTTTATACTAAAGTTCTTCACATTCATGACAAAAATAAAATTAAAGGGCTAAATAATTGGTGTTGTATAAAATGCAAAGCAAGAAGATGAAGGCATCATTGTAAAGGAATTTATATAGGGTAAAACACTATACCATGTAAGCAACTTAGGTGTCAGAGAATTTTTAAACCAGTGACACATTTAGGTCAAAAATGACAGACAAGGCTAGCAACCCAGCCCCTGTAAATAAAAAGGAATATAAGTAATGTAGCAAAGCTAAGATGGCGAAAAACTCACACATGTTGAGCCAGTTATGTATGACACAACAACTGTTATGTCATCAAGCTTCCCACCATAATAATAGAACCCAGCCTCATGAGCAGCAGTAGAAAATGGTGTCTGCCTATTCCTGTCCTGTGCTCGCTGACGAGCCAGTGCTGCTATCCTCTGAGCAGTTACTTGGGGTTCTAATCCAGCTCCAACTGCATGTAGAACAACTTCAGCAACCTCATCATTGTACAGATTGTCAAACAATCCATCTGTTCCAGCAACGACAACATCTCCTGGGGCAACAGGTATCATAAAGACCTGGATATGTGATTGTGGCTGGTGTGTTAGTCTGTTTATTTTCCAGAATATATATGAACTTGTTTTGAAATACACAAACTTAATATGCTACACTACATGGCTTCCTGGGGAATAATTCTAGGATGTTAACTGTGCCAAGACCAAAATAATACTCTTCCGGACAATTTCAGATTGATATTTAAAGGGGATGCGAGAAAACTGGATCAAATAAAAATTTGATTTGCATATTTGATGGGAGCCCAGCAACCATGGACCCAACAGGAGCATCAACTGCTGGGCCTATGATAGATGTTAATACAAGGCCCAAGCACAGTACTAAATGTCCCTCAAAATGGGAGGATTTCATGCCCTAAAGAATTCACAATCTATCAAAAATTCTTAGCAATGAGCTGTTAAATTGCTATAGGATAACTATTAAAGTTTGTTGTTTCCTCTACAGTTCTGCTACGATTTTGTTTTGTTTTATCTTATATACATAGATGCATAATGCACCTTCATGGATAGACAAGAAGCATTTTTCAGAAATCATGTTCTCTAAATTCTCTGAGAGATGACCTTCAGTGCTTTAATTGACTTCCATCATGGCTGACCTTAAGCAGACCCGTTCTCATATTCCAATTCTTTGATTACCATGCTACCTTTGACAATGAATGCTTGCAAATAGCAGGAATATTTCTACCTTGATGGCCTTGCACTTAGTTGGTACCAGTAAATGTACCTCAACAACCAAATTTTCTCTTGGGCACATTTCATCCCAGCATTAGAGCTGCATTTTGCCCCTTTTTGTATGATGACCCTAAAGGAATTTGTTTAAAATCACCCAACATGGTTATGTCAACAACTACCTCTCTAAATTTGTGAATCTTGCTAATCATATTGTTGGCTAAGGCCTTTTCACCGACATCCACCCTGAGGTCCTAGCACTCTAGCCCTTAAACCTCGTGTAAGATGCAACCTAAGCCAAATTACAAGTTAAATTAGTTGACGGTAAAAGGTTTCACATCCCTCGAACCCCTTTTCCCACCACACCATCTTGACTCCACCCTTATCCTTTCCACCTCCCCTACCAAAATACCACTCAAACACTTCACACTAGCTGAACTTTTTTATCATTGTGATTGTGGTCTATGTTACAATTGTGGTGAGCACTGGAACCTGTTCACAAATGTAAATCCAAATTCCTCCAACTTGTAGTTCATGATGATAGCACATGACCCTGGCAATTTCACTAACTCTCTTTCTACACAAACCAATTTTTGTTCTCTTGCTGGCCACTATGCTTTGAAAATCTAACATGTTGCTACTATTTTTAATGGTCACAAGGTTCTTGTGTTCATCGTAGTAACAATCATAACTTTATCCAATCTCACATGTTCGTTTCCTCAAACCCCACTCCTTACAACGATGAGCATCATAGTCAGCACTGGCAACAAGCATACATATTCCGCTTTTTTAAAGGATATTTTTGTTTCTCTTCAAAATTATCATTTTGAGGTTACCCTTTTTGTCATGAACTTCACAAGAGCTTATATTGTTTTTGGACGAGATTGGCTGAAGGTCCTCAGCCCAATTATTATGAACTACTCTCGTCTTACCAAACATTTTATGTAGAACGCCACATGGGATAAATTACAGGGTTGTTCCCCATTTTGCCCAACTGAGATCACTCACCATCGAAATTAAACGTCACATAAATACTCATTGAGCCACCACTTACTTTTATATCCAACTTAGCCCAATTCCACTTTTATTATTAATGACCTTCCATCTCTAACCTACTTCCCTACAAACTCTCACTACTTTTCCCCATTTTAGAAGCAAGAAATCAAGTGCTAGAATGATAACTAATGGCTTGATCTAACTAATTGGAGTTAATTCTCTTCTCCGATGTTACTAGTTTGTCAAAAGGACAAGACATGGTGAATATGTGTGGATTTTCATGCCTTAAGTATGCTTATAGTCAAGGATTGGTTTCCAATTCTGATATGAATCACAAGGGGTGATTTATAATCTTTAGGGTTAGAACCTTGTAAGAAATTTAGGAATTTAGTGATAAGGTAGAAGGAAATAATCACTCTTCCCAAGGAAGGCAACTCTCAAAGGATGTGAAAGTCTTTTGATAAAGGTTCTTAAATCACTCAAGAATTTAGGAGAATCACTCTCACTAAAATAAAAGAGATAAACTATAATATTTCTGAATAAAATTCCACTTGTTATTTTTTATAAAAATGGTTCAGCCTTATAGAAGTTTTGTCATCAGAATTACAAAGATTCAATAAAGAAAAATAAATGCTAATAATAATTCATTAACCTAGGGATTGAAAACTACTTAATGGAGACAAATAAAGGCTAATAATGATCTATTAACCTAGGAATTGATACTACTTAATGACTGATTGTAACTGAAATTGTGACAACCAAAAGTCAATCAGCTATACACCCTCTTGGTCTCCCAAAGACTAATAACTAAATTTTAAATTGAGCCCTTATTACAACTTGCAATAAAACCAAACTAAAACCCATTAATCGATTAATCCAAAACATAATTTGGTCAACCAACAATACTTGTTGAAGAGCTTCATTTGTTTCCCTTACTCTAACTCTTATCATAGGTCATGTTCACACCATTCGCTCTATCTTGTCTTTTATTTCAAAACAAATAAAAACCCTCTTTTTATTACCTTTACCAATCAAACCCCAAGTTTCACGAAATCAATCACAAAATAGGATTAGGATATAAAAGAAATTTCAAATGCCAATCTATTTTTTTAGTTGGTTTACATATTAATCACGAGAGATTGGAAGCAAGTACTGCGAACTCTGTTTTATGGCACCAGAACAGTATAAGCAGTATGAGTAGGACTATTCTGTCAACAAATAGTCCCTGGCAAAGATACTATCAGAAACAAGTAAGAAGGTACAGTCTCAACAAAAAAGAGCCTCAATTTTGAAATTCCTTATTGCCGATGAAATATTCTTAGAAGTAAATCATGCATGAAATTAGTGACAACTTACCTCACCAGAGCTGGGTAGATCACATCCATTTCCACTCTCCAGTTGATATGTAAAATTGAAGTCATGCTGTTGAACAGGGGACCTGAAAATGGTGCATCCATCTCTAATCACAATGAACCCACTATCACCCAAATTAATGGCATGCAGTCCCTGGACCAAGATACCATACATAGTTAGCAAATCAATCATTTGATTTACTCTGTCGTTTCCTTTTATACTCAAAAAAGCGAGCTACCCAGATTTTACTGGCTGCGATGGGCTTAGTGAATCAAGATGCAGACTAAAACATCAATAACTTAGGGCTTAGGTTAGGAGCACGTTAGACAAGAGTTAATGAATGATATGTGTGTATGCGCTCATGACTCAACTGTATACTAACATGGGTATAGTAGAGAAAAATATCACCAAATGTACATGAAGAAAAACAAGCTGGCAAAAATTGAGCATGCTTTAATTTTTTTCCCGTAAGCCATCACTATCCGATAATGTAATTCTGATTCTGAATACAGACAAGAATCTAGTTTTATTGTACAAGATTTTACATCAGACATCATATGACATAAAATACAGATGTTAGGGAGATGCATAATCTAATGCAATGTTGATAACGTCAACAAGGCGAAAAAACACAAATATTTAGTACATAGCATTAAAATAGATTTAGTGCTGTTCAACAGTGAAGGAAACTATTTTGATAGTAAAAAATTTAAATAAAAATAATATTATACCATATCAGTAAGTGTGATGATACATGCTGTCGATGAACCCTTGGCCTTTGTAAACGAGTGAGCCTTCTCTAAAACCCTTGCAGGATCAACAGAACCTTTGGGTTCCTCTTCAATTGCTCTAACGGAATGGGACATGAGTTCTCGAGCAAACAGTCCAGCATTAACACCAACATCTGCCCAGCCACCTACACCATCTGCCACACCAACTGTTTGTTCATCAACGCAAATGAAATGTGCATCCTCTCCACCATAGTCCTCCTTATCCGGATGTGGTAGGTAACAAGACCCCGAAAACAACTTCAACCTCTCCGCACCAAAATTGGTTCTGCATTATTTAACATATCTACCTTGTAATTGTGGGAAAGATAAATTAAAAGAGTAAACGTCCTCTTCAATCTTGATACTAAATGTGTAGGTAGGCCATTGAAATGCTTAACTTAAGTAAAAAAATTACTTCACTTCTGTCTATAGAAAACGTCTTTCACATTAAAACCTCTTCACTAAACTAACGCAAAAAATGTTGTACAAGTCATAAAACAAAGTTATAAATTAAAATAACTATAGCAAATGACTAAAATAAGGGTTATCTCTAAATTAAAAATATAATAATCATAGCTAACTCTCATTCTAGTTCCTAGGAGCGCAACCATTAGTCACTATAGTACAAGATGTTCACTTTAATAAAAAGAAATAAATAATTTATTTTAATAATTTCTTACTTCATTTTTACCATCATTTTACATAAAGAAAAATAGGTATAATATATTTGAAGTCTATCCATACGTTAAAAATAACGACTCTGGTCCTCGCGGAACTCCATAAAGAGGGACAAAGCTCACCAATTATAAAATATACAAGAACCAAACTAATTTTAATCCTTTAAAGCGTGTGTTTGGTTCCCATTCATAACACTAGACTCGCGCCAAGTTCAAAGCAACAGAGAGAGTAGCTTTTGCGTTTTGTTTTTTCATTTTGATATGAAACACAGTTCTCAGTGCTGTGCCAAACTTGCCGTAAGTGTAGTGAGTCACTAAAACCAAAAATTAAGAAACCTACAACACATTTTACCCTAAAAGTATTCTAAAGGAAACGACAGATGTAATTCAGGAAACAAAACGAGGGTTTACAGAGAAAACACGTACTGGTCGACTGAAAAGGTGGAGGAGGCAAGGGGTTGAACATGAGGCGTTGTCTCGGCGGAGCAGCAAGGAAAGGAGGAGTGCTTGGTCCCAACAAGGAGCGAGCTCGGATTCCAACTCCTCCAAGTTGCATCGGAAGTGGAGCAGCCGAAGTTCAAGAGACCGTTCAAGGGTTGCAATCTTGTGAGATTGACGGTGGCTCGCAAAGCGGCGCGGCGAGTTCTGTCCCGGAAGCGAACGCCGGAGGGCTTGGCGGCGACGTCGTCGAAGTAGACGTCTCCAAGGAGAACGGCATTGGAAGCGGAAGTTGCCATAGAATGCAGAGGAATGAGAATTGTGAATCTGAGATGGAAGAAGAGCGAGAGGCCCCGAAGATAGCGGAAATAGTCTCGGTTCCACTAGAGCCTCAAAATCTTCGGATGGAAGATTGATAGAGACACAAAACTCCGATTTGTATTCCAATGCTTCCGCTCTTTTCTATTTCATCTCTATCGTTATGCTTTTTCAATTCAAATTTGAGTGTTCCTTTATTCATTCATTTATTTATTTGTATCTGTTAAAATGGTAAGCTCCGCCGAAACAAATAATACTGTTCGATAAAATTAAAGTATAATAAGTCATTGGGTCTTGATTTATTTGACAATTTTTAATTATGCTTTAAAATTATATACTTGCAACTACCTCCTTCATTTTTATAAGTTTTATATTTGAATCTCTTAATTAATTCAATTAACAAAATAATAATTAGTAAGAGTTTAACTAGCTCTAAAAACTCAATTATAAAAATTATAGAATATAAAAAATTCAATTTTAGTTTTCTTAGTTTAAGAGCTTAAATAAAAAATTTCAAATAGTTCAGGAATCGATTGATGTATTGCACTAAAAATTAACTTCAAAAAGGGTTAAATTATAAATTATATTTGAAATATTATAGGAGTAAATTCTCAAAAGTCACACTTTTTATATTCATTATATTAAATAAACTAACTAGCATGATTTATTGTGAAAAAATTAATAATAAAATGAAAAATTATTAGAATATAAAAACTTAAACAATAGTTTCAGAGTATTTTATATTTCGGACTTTAAAAAAATTCTCTATATCTCATTCTTTAACAAATTTTTTTTTTAATTCCTGTAGAATGAGGTGTAATTTTAACTCATTTACGAAAACCCTTAGAAAATTCTCTCACAAAAGTTATTCTGGGATTATTCCACATATAAACCACTTTTAGAATAAGAGTCTACTATACTAATTGGTTTTCCTTCAAAGTTATTAGAAAATTTCGACATAAAATGCATTTTATGTTCTGTTACAAGGTCTAGGGTACAGAAACTAAAAAAAGCATGACATATATTATCATATTTTATTATACAATACAAGGCTGAATGACCACAAATTTGTATGAACTACAACATTCATTGTAGTAGGATTGACGTTGAGAGAGATTGTGATCCATTAGGATTTGATTTTGCCACAATTATTGCTCTAATTGCTGGGTATATATTTTCTAATCATGTTCCTAAAATAATTTAGTGACATGTTTGATGTGGATGTCATATACTAACTTGCTATAGTGACATGAGTTGCATATGTACAAATTAAAGATAAGCAAATTTTTGTTTACATATAATATTTGTAACCTACTATAATGATACCTTAGTAAAATAGTAAATAACAACATTTATATTACATTATATTACTCGTAATTATAATATAGACTGAAATCTCAGTTCATTAGTGGAACCTCAAAACATAGTAACATAATTTATTTATATAGATATATACAAAAGTAGTTCCCACAAAACTACCTCATCTGAACTATCCTCGTTGTCCAGGTAGTCGCATCTCCACCTCTCAACTCCTGATCTGTTCCCATATAAAAGTGATCATCACAGTTCCATCCACATGGAAAAATAGGGGTAAATATTAAATTATTCGATATAATAAAATAGATATAGAAGTAATAATTACATATTATTATCAATTACAAATCATCAATACACTAAGACGTCTTCCAGAAGTCTACCCTAACTATGTCCGAACTCAGAGGTTATCATCTGTGGGCACATTGTGATCGGCACCCTGTTAGTAAAAGAAAAATCGATACCAGGATCGAAAGAACCAAAGAGAGAGAAAATCGAAAATCATATAGTTGGTTAAAAAATTGATAAGACTGGTAAAAGACACCTGGTGACCACAAAGATAAAAACACATCGAAAATCAAAATCGAGAATCGAAGAAACAAATTTCGATGTCTATTGTTGAAGAGAATCGAGAAATTAGAATAGTGCAAAGTTAAGAATTAAAGGGAATCAAAAGCAATTCAAAATACTCGAGGTCTGAAATCGAGATCGAGGGAGCGGTTAACACGCACATAGAACATGGGAAACAATTTCTAAACTAAGGCTGAGATCGAAGATCAAGGGAGCAGTTCTCTTATGCGTGAGAACGTGGAATGCAGTTTTTAAACCGTAAGACTAAGGGACGTGCACGTAGGATCGTGGTGACAGTTTTATTAACTACTCTTAGGAGGTTACTTGAAGGATGCTCTATAAATAGAGCGAAGACTTGAAAAAGATGGGAAATTGGCAGAGACAACAGAAACACAAGTGAAAAAGTCTACCGGAGAATGACGAATCATGAAGTTTCTGGCGATCTGGGTTTCCATTTTCATTGATTGTCTGTATCGCTTTCTTTACTTTCCCTGGTAATTTATGTTCATGCAATTTACTTTGATGCTAGTTTACGTTTAGCAACTTTAAGTTTCTGCACTTTCAATTCCTTGTTATTTTACTTTTATGTAAATTGAGATTTTGCGTTTAAGTTCTTCGCTATTTACAATTCTGCAATTTCGATTTCCTGTTATTTACATTTCTGCAATTTCGATTTCCTATTATTTACATTTCTGCAATTTCAATTTTCTGTTATTTACATTTCTGCAATTTCGATTTCCTGTTATTTACATTTCTGCAATTTTGATTTCCTGTTATTTACATTTCTGCAATTTCGATTTCCTGTTATTTACATTCCTGCAATTTCGATTTCTCGCCATTTACACTTAATGCAAATTTGAGGTTTCCGTTTTTTACATTTCCCTGCAATTTGATATTTCGCACTGCTTTTCGATTCAACGCTTTCTTTACTTCGTATTTCTTAATAAAAAACATCAAAAATAGTACTTTCTGTACTCTAGGCCATGCCGGTTTACATTATAAGATTCTCGATTCTCATTCATTTTTCGATTGAAAACTAGTTGCTAGCCTAAGTAAAAAGAATCTACATGGTTGAGATTTGATTAGAACTTAACTCCCGATAAATCGAAATCGATCAAATTTTCACCAGAAACAAATTGGCGCGCCAAATAGGGAGTTTGTGTCGAAAAACACAAACAATTGGTTAGTTCGAAAGTGTATGAGATTAAGGAGTGGACGGACATTGAGAATGAGTCAAAATACACCACATAATCAGAATAACAATGAGATTCCAAATAGTTCACATTTGCCAAACACTGGGGGGCAAGTTCACAATGGGACTATGCCCATAATATCGACAAATGTGAGTACGTCGATACCTGTGAGTGCTGAACAAAGCTCAGGCACATCGGTAAATACTCAGTTAAGACCGCCTGACTTTTCGATTAATAATATGAATGGGGCTGGTACTTCTTCAATACAATGAAGTAAGAGATTTAACCTAGGAATGCCCCAAAACTTAGGCACATTTCAAACCTTAGGCATGCCTCAAAATTTTGGAGTATCTCCAAATTTATGAGTGTCTCAAAATTTAGTAACTCCCTAGAATTCAGGGAATGTGCAGAATTTAGAAACGCAACAAACGCCTCCGGTGTCAAACTTAGATCATAGAGCAAACCCGGATCACGGGAGATACCTACTCGATAGAGATTATCATCGATCTAATTTTGAGACCGTCGAAAACGCTAGAACTAGAATTTCCAATAACTCATTAGGAGTACTTCGACAACAAATGGACGAAAGCAATTTCGAGATGGTTAACATGTTATCACAACAGTTGACTATAGTACTGAATCCATTAGTTCAAAATACCACTGTAGACCCCAAATCTTGTCCGACCTCCAAATAAAGAATAAAAGACTTCCTATTCGAAGATGGACGAAGCCTAACAAGCCACTAGGAGAGACTATTAGGCCCCATACTAGGATAGGAAGGATTTTCGGCACAAAAATAAGGTTTCTCGCCTTTTTGGGACGAGACCGCCGTCTCGCCAAACGAGACGGCGGTCTCGCCACCTGCGAATGGCGAGACGGCGGTCTCGCTTTCCCAGACGGCGGTCTCGCCACTTTGGCATGGCGAGACGACGGTCTCGACCCTGTCAGACGAGAACGGCGGTCTCGCCACTGTCAGGCGCGAAAACCTATAAATAGGGGCTCCCCCCCCTCATTTCCACACACCACACAACATTCTCTCCTCCTTCTCTCTAGGATTTCTCTCTCTAGAATCCCTCCGACTCATTTCCGGAGCTTCTGAGTGTCTTTAGAGTGATTTCTGAGCGTTTCGAGAGGTTTCCGGCGCTGTAGAGTGAAGGGTTGCCACAAAGCACCCTCTTTTTAAAGAGAATTAATAAAAAAAGCATGCTTCGGAGGTTTACATTCTCTCTCTCCACTTTTACCGCTTTATTTAAATTACGCAATAGATAGGGTCATGTAGTCATAATATTTTAATTCCGCAAATAGAAGGGTAAAAGCGTATTTTTCGGTTTATTTATCAATAAAAGTAGCTGGCCTGTCATAGGGAACCCGAAAGGGGCGTCGTAAAGGAACTAACACTTTCTTTACAGGTAGCTAACTCCCTTACCCAACTCTGGTTCTAATGACCAAAGTTGGTTTTTCGAAAACCAACGCCTTTTAAACCCCTTTTCCGATGTTTCCGGTAAAAACATCGGTGGCGACTCCACAGAACCCTTCAAAAATTAGTCCTTGGGTTAGCCCGGTTATCGGACAACCCAAGGACGACCTTTCGAAACCTCGCCCCTAGGTTAGCCCAGTTATCGGACAACCTAAAGGCGTTGTAACCACCCATAAAAAACGCGAAAACAAGAGGGTCGAAATCATCGCGTCGCTCCGACCGCCTCTCTTTTTTTACGGCGGCGACAGATGGCGACTTCACTAGGGAAGCCTCGAGAGTTGATCCCATTTAGTGATGGGCCGGCTTAAAAATAAATAAACCAAGAAAATAACGTTTTTACCCTTAACTTGTATTATAACATGTTTTACGGTTTGGCTTTAATAACTGTTGCTTGTTTATACTTACGCAATTGTGTGAAATACAAACT